GAGAGAGAGAGAGAGAGAGAGAGAGAGAGAGAGAGAGAGAGAGAGAAGGAAAGATTCTAGACTTATTAATTTTTGAGTTTTCTGATGTTCATGTACTGCTTTTACTCTACTTTTCCACCATAGCATTTTTAAAATGCAGCTCATATCCACTGGCCTGCAAGGAAGACCCATAGAATTTATTTTAAAATTAACTTTATCGGACTGCCTTGTTAATTATCCCACATTAACATTTTTGCTTTTGTTTCAATTTGTTTTAATGCCATTTTTAGCACCATATTACATGCCCTGTGAAACCTCAGAAGACTGGACTATAAATCAGACAATTAAACTTGTGCATTTGATAATCTAATCATCAGAATAGCCTATTGCCTTTCTAAAGTGAAAGGCTTGATTTGTCCTTCATGACTAATAACTAGTGGTAGATCTGTATGGATTTTAAAACAAACCATGTAAGTTAATTATTCATCCTCTAGCAGTAAATTCCAGAAATTAATTATGCAAATCGGGGGCTCCTTCAAACCAGTTGTAAAGACCATTTTCAATTTTTGCACCAGAACATTGTGACACCAAACAGAAAATCTATATTCCTTCTACATGATTCTAACACTGTAGCTATACAAGAAGTTGCTTCAGTTGGGAATGGAATTAGATTGTAATTTTGCTCCTGTTCAAATATTTATCACATTACTCTGCACAATCTATTTCAGTCTTCGTCATCAATGTTATTATATTTGTTATTATTTGCATTGCTTTTACTATTTCCATTTCTAAATATTTCAGATGTCTCCATAAGTATTTTTATACTTAAGAGTTTGCCTCAATATTTATCAACCTTTTATTTTTATTTTTTATTAAATAAACATTAAAAACAGTAGAACACAGTGCAACTTTCTTGGCCATCATTTTGGCCATACAAACTATAACATATAAATACATATAACAGTTAATTTTCCCTTTTTCCTTATGTTCTTGATATAATGCTAGTTACATATTTGTTTCTATTTGCACTTATATACATATTTACAACCTGGCTTCTTATCCATCTCTTTTTTTCTCTTTGTGATCTTTATATTCATATATTCATATCATATCATATTTGTCCATTATATTTCATTTTCTTTAATTTACAAAACTTTTACTTTCATTCGTATAAAGCATCAACAATTTCTAGTAATAATATAAATTACATACTATATATAATATCCAATAACAATAGAAGTTTCTATAGGGAGAATCATAAACAGCAGTAAAAAGAAAATGTATTTTTAAGTTATATTATTTAAGTGATATTGGAATATGTTAAATATAAATATTAGTCTCAAAATATCAAGATTCCACCCAATTCACAATCATATAAACTCTATAGGCTATATTTCTATTATAATAATGATATTAACCAACTTTTAATAATGGGCTTTTAATGGGAAAAAAGGAGCTTCAAGAGTTGTACAAATGGGAAAGAAATGGAAATTCTCATAAGCTTCTCTACATGGTCCTCCCTGGATAATTAATCATATTTTAGACTTGATTCATTAGGCAGGAACCAATTACAAAAAATAAGAGATGGAAACTCATTGCAGACCATCTATGCTTTGCATTTAGCCTAATTTAAAAGACATAAAGAGATCTGAGAGATGTAACAGACAAACTATGGTACTGGGATAATTTTGTTCTAACTGCTAAACATTCCACTTTGTATATCATGATCATATTGTACAAGATACTAAGCCATAATAATGTGTGATGAGTTTAGTAGAAGCTTCCGAAACTCTCATTTAAATTTTGGGAAAAGCCAAGAGATTATAAGAAGCACAGTGAAGATACAGATGAGTTTTGTTGAGTTTGGAGCATACCTGTTTTTGAAAGCTGTAGTTAGCCTATTTTAGATCTTACATTAGACTGAGACTGATACATTTAGGTGCAGGATAGTTGGAAATGTTAAAATAATGGCTGCCATACCCACTCCCAAAGTATCAATCTCTTCTCTTCAACAAGTAGGATGGTCCTACTTGTTGAAATTAAGTGCCATTGGTGGGGGTGGGAGGAATGCATTTATTCATTTAGTTAGTTATAAAGCATAGTCCTGCTTTTCATACTTTTCTGGGCCTGAAGCCAGATAAGCCAGGAGAATTAAAAATCAGATGAAAACAGATGAAAGGCATAAAATCACAACAAGCAACTGAAACCGTACTAAAGCCACAAGAATTGCTGCCACAAGAGACACAAGGGTAAAGATTCAAATAGAGGCCTAAATAGAGAAATATTTTACAGCCCACCAATTCTTCTTTTTCTTCTTTACTTCCTCTTTTACCCCTTCAGGTATCCAGGGATACAGCCCATGAATAAAGAAGAATATTTGGAGGTCAGGGTTGAAATGAAAGGGTCCTTGGTGATCTCTCAGCTTGGTGTAAGGCATCAATTCAGCTGCCACTTGGTTATTTTCTTGCAGGTGTTTCATTACCCATACTAGGTAACATCATAACATCGTAACAGCACTGATGTTATCTAGTAATGAAAATTTGTAAGAAAACAACAAAGCTCAGTGAACATCAATGGCCTTTCATTTTACAAACTGCAAGGAAAACTTAGAAGGTATGGTGGTGTATGGTGCCAGCTGCAACCAAACAGCTATTCAAGACTTAGCATCTCTAGGGTAAGAAAGGAAACTTGGACAAATCTTACAGAAGCTTCACTACACCCATTTTATTCTTGACACAAAATTTTCTTAACAGAATAACAGAGTTGGAAGCAGAGGATGGTATTTAGCAAGTTCTGACCAGTTCTGGAGAACTGGTAGCGAAAATTTTAAGTAGTTTGGAGAATCGGCAAATGCCACCTCTGACTGGAGATTTTACAGTATCCTTCCCCTGCCACACCCATCAAGCCACGCCCACCGAACCGGTAGTAAAAAAAAAAAATTGAATCCCACTTGGAAGGGACTTTGTAGGTCATCCAGTCCAAGCAGGAGACCCTACACCATTTCTGACAGATGGAAATCCAGTCTCTTCTTGAAAGCTTCCAGGGATGAAGCTCCCACAACTTCCAAAGGCAACTTCTGTTCCATCAGTTAATTGTTCTCACTGTCAGAAAATTCCTCCTTATTTCCAGGTTGAATCTCTCCTTGATCAGTTTCCATCCATTGTTCCTTGTCTGGCCTTCAGGGGCTTTGGAAAATAGTTTGACCCCTTCCTACTCTCTGTGGTAGCCCCTCAAATATTGCAAGACTGCTATCATGTCTCCCCTGGTCCTTCTTTTCACTAGACTAGCCATGCCCAGTTCCTGTAACTATTCATCGTATATTTTAACCTCAAGTCCTTAGATCATTTCACTTTCCCTAATGTTCATTTATGTATAATATGCCATAAACTTCTTAGTATTATGGATCATCAAAGTCTCCCTTTTAGTTTGTATGGGCTACTGTCAAATCAATGAAAAGAGCCCCATCTCTACAGGGGCTATACTATACAACCATATTCTGTGTTGTTCCCTGTTGTAATCCCATCTCCTTCTCTTACTTGAGATGGCATATCTCCCATCTGAGAAGAAACAGGCCAACCGACATCGATGGAAACATATGAAAGATGTCTCAAATATGCCTACAACCTAGGAGATTTTGTAGAGATGAACTTCACTGCTGTTTTGTTTCTCAGCACATATTTGTTTACTGCATATTAATAGATTAATTATAAATAGAAGTGTGGCCTAATTACTATTGATGAGCAGTTCATTTAGTTTGTTTTAAGATTTAGTTCTTTGCCAGGATGGTAGGTTTATGTATAATGCATCATCATCTTGAGACACAGGCATAGAGAGCAAAAACTACTTCCTTGCCAACACATACAGTGAGTGTTCTGCTTTGTTATGAATTGGTTATTAATTTTCTATTTCACAGTTTCTCGATGCTGAGAGAATTAATATGCCAAAATTCATTGCGTGTCGCGCTTAGAACGAGGCAACCTTGGGGTTGAAATTTGCGATGAGATGTTAGGCTAATGATCAAAGATGCTATTCTGAGAATAAAAATGGTGACCACCTTAAAGGCAAGAGAAACCTGAAGTTCTATCCCATAATAAACAGTTTCATATACTTTAGTTTGCATGCAGATAGTTTTCTACTTATGACCATAATTGAACCTTTCCATTGCTTAAGTCATTTGTTAAATGAGTTTTGTCCCATTTTCCAACCTTCCTTGCCACAGTTGTTAAGTGAGTAGGTTGTGAAGTGAATCTGACTTCCCATGGACTTTGCTTGTCAGAAGGTTGCAAAAGGTGATTTGCATGACCCCAGGACACTGAAACCGTCATAAATATGAATCACTTGTCAAGCATCTGAATTTTGATCAGGTGGGGATGCTGCAATGTGAAAAAGAAGTGTGGAAAAGGGCCATAAATCAACTTTTTTTCCCCAGTGCTGCTGTATCACTAAATGGACTGTTGTAAGTCAAGGACTAACTACGCTTGGCTGATTTCCCGAAATTGAATTTGCCGGTGTCTAAGTGGAACATCATCATTTTGACCCCAGTCTCTTCTCAATAGTGGGAATCCAGAGGTTTCAAAAAGGTAAATTCACTTATTTCCAAAGAGGCGGCCTTCCATATCCTGCTTGAAAAACTCTGGTGAAGAAGAATTCAGTGCTAATCTGGACCGTTAACTCTAAAATCATTAATTACATATGTTCTCCTAATAATCCCTGGATCACCTGCTTTCTGGTGATTTAGAACAGATTGAGCACTGCCCTCTGAGGCAACTGTAAACCATTTTTGCTGAAATAATACTTGTTTTTAAAGAATGCCCTCAACTTTCACACTTCTTTCTCCAGAGTGTACATTTATTTTCTTCCACTTTCTGTTCCTGGAATGGAGTAAAGCAAAGTCAGTCATGGAGTAGAACCAGAGGTGGTATTCAGCTGGTTCGGACCAGTTCTGGAGAACCGGTATTTTAAGTTGTTTGGAGAACCAGCAAATCCCACCGCTGACTGGCCCCGCCCCCAACCATTCTCTGCCTCCCAAGTCCCAGCTGATTGGCTGGGTCTTCTTTGGTTGCCCTGCACAGGAAAACGGAGCTGGAAAGCAGGTTGGGGGGGGGAGGGAATGGGGATTTTGCACTAACCTCCCCCAGGAGTGGGGAGGGAATGGAGATTTTACAGCATCCTTCCCCTGCCACTCTCACCAAGCCACGCCACACCCACCAAGCCATGCCAACAGAACCAGTGGTAAAAAAATTTGAATCCCACCACTGAGTAGAACCCTAGATTCAGTCAAAGAGCAGAGCAGGAGACATTTTTCATTCTCGTTGCACAAAAATTATCTTTAAAACGCTGGATACACTAAACAGCCATCCAGGGTATTTCTGCTCCTTCATCAATTTTATCTAGCTCTCTTTTAAAATAATCTAATCTGAAGCCCATCACTACATCTGATGAAAGCAAATTCCACACTTCAGCTATGCACTTTACTGCTTTCAACAGTATCAGAAATCTGCGCTGGCAGGAGATAAGTGGTCAAATTTTCCCGAAGAAATCCTTTCTTTAAGTTGGATTAAGGAGTAGAAGGAAGGATTTAGAAAACCGAAAGCACGTGACTATGAAATGCAGGCCTGCCTCCCTCCCTTAAGCCTTTGTTTCATTCTATTATAAACATTGCTTTTTGGATGAAAAGCATGCGGTGAAAATTATAGAAAATGTTGGCTTGAATGTTAAAAGGGAAAAAAAAGA